ATGAGTGGTGTATGATGAGTGGTGTATGATGAGTGGTGTATGATGAGTGGTGTATGATGAGTGGTGTATTGATGAGTGGTGTATGTTGAGTGGTGTATGATGAGTGGTGTATGATGAGTGGTGTGTGAACAGTTCTTGAATGTCCGTAACACGGAAGTTTCGTACACTAAAGTTCCTTTGACGACGACGACGACGACTACTAGTAGTGCTAGGCTGCTACTACTACTACTACTACTACTCCTGCTACTACTACTACTACTACTACTACTCCTACTCCTACTCCTACAACTACTACAACGACTACAACAACAACGACTACTACTAGTACTAGTACCACTAGTACTAGCACTAGTACTAGCACTACCTACCACTACTGGTAAAGGTGCATGTTGGCCGGTTGTTTTCGGGGGGTGGTCAAAAAACAATGACGGGGCAGCAATTTTTGTTTGCACCTTGTTGTTGTTGTTGTGTTCTGTGGATGTGTCTTTGTGGTTGTGGTTGTGTTTGTGATCGTGCGTTTGTGATTTTGCGTTTAGTTTGTGGTTGTGTGTTTGTGATTGTGTGCTTGCGGAAAATTTGCGAATGTGTTTGTGGCTGTGTTTGTGGTTGTGCTCTTGTGATTGTTTTTGTGGTTGTGCTTGTGATTGCCATTGTGTGTTTGTGGTTCTGTTTTTGCGGATGTGTTTGCGGTTGTGCTTGTGGTTGTCTTTGTGGTTGTGTGTCTCTGGTGTGTGTTTGGGTTTGTGGTTGTGTGTTTGTGGTTGTGCGTTGGTTGAGGTCCGGCAGCGCACAGTGCGCTCGGGAGCTGGCGGTTGAGGTCCGGCCGGGAACACTGCCAGCCACGACTCGCGGTTCAGGACGAGGCGGAGGAGGACGAGGGGGAGGACGAGGAGGACGAGGACGGCAGCTGGTCTAACAACCCTCACCTGACAGGTGGGGAACAAGAAACATGGTCTCCTTTCTCCAAAAGATCGAGCCTTGGACCATGCGTTAAAGATCTTCGTTCCTGACCTCTACAACGCTGTGTTTCCGTTGACTGGGACATGTCATTTTCCAGCATAAGAGGCGAACGAAGACCACCCTGGGAGTCCAGTCGCACCGGTTCATCCGGCCCATGTGGCCCTGCTTCCTCCGGAATCTACGGAGTCATCAACCCGCAAAAATCCCGGAATCCGGGACTCTCAGTACCTCTGTTTTTTAAGAATTCCTGAAGTCCAAGAGTCTTTCAGTGATAGGGGTGGACTGGAATGTCCTGAAACCTTCTGTGTTGCCCTTGCCCAGATGCGTTCTTTACTGGGACTTCTGGGGATAACATCTTGCAACTGGGACTTCTGGATCTGTGAGCACCTCAAACCACACCAGGTGAACTCTGGTGACCTCCAGATGCTCTCCGACCGTACCAAGACCTCCGGTCGGAGCCCGAGCACCGCACCGAGGTGAACGGAGGACTGCACGGAGGGTGAGAGCTCCGTGTGCACGGAGTCCAAGACCGACCTGGGATCAAGCCAGTGGTGGGAGGAGGACCTGGAGGACCACCTGGAGAGGACGTTCCGCCGTTTTTCAGACTCGGTCCTAACCGCGGTTTCGGGGGTTCACCGTCGGTCTGAACCCAAACCGCCCGGCGCGGGAAACAGCAAGCTTGCCGCCGCCGTGCCTGGTCTTGATTTCCTGGGTGTGTTCTGGTGTTCGTCCCGCATCTCCAAGGGTGGAGGTTCGAGAGAAGAGGTGGAACACGTGGAAAGGAATCGCAGGGAATCGCACCCCCAAGATCCACCCGATATAATGGTTGCTCTGGGGCTGAGTCTTAATGTCTTTTATTTTGTTTGTGGAGAGAAAAGATGGGACATATGGGGAAAGCCCATCCTGGAACCCCAGTCCCAACCAGAAAGAAATGGATGGAACTCCCCAGTCCCCACCATTTCCTATGTGGATTTCAAGCTGGTGCCATATTGGAACAGCCAGACTTCTTTCTGGGTGGGACTGGGGTTCCAGGATGAAATACATCTTCCTCACCCCAGTGCAGGTCTTCCAACATGTTCGATGACTTCCGCCGACCGACCCAGCGATCCAAAGCGACGCACCGCGCTCCCAGGTGGCCGGGCAGAAGGCTTTCTGGGCACGTCACTGAGCAAATGGAGGAGGCCAAGTCCAGGCGCGCGTGGCTTTGAAGTGGCGTGGAGGAGTCCAGGTGTAGAAAGTCCAAGACTGGTGGTACCAACCTCGGTCGGTCTTTCATCAATGTCAATGTGGATGTATGGCAAAACAACAAGGAAATGATGCATCTTTCTTTGGGGGGCAATGGGAAAAAGCACGGTAGCAAACCCCTGGAGTCAAAGACTATAAAAAGAATTGTCTTTAGGTGACCCGAGTCAAGGAATTTCCGTTACTTCAGTCGGTCAACATATAGTCTTTGGACTTCTAGGGAAACCTTGTGCAAGTTTCTGGCCCTTCATGGTTCCTTCACCCTTGAACCCAACCACCCTGTAAGAACGTGTGACGCTGCCTTCGCAATTAGGGCCTAAACCCTAAACCCCAACATGCGGGGAACGTGGACCAGGGTGATGGGGCGTCGGGTACGTCGGGGACGTCTTCACCCGACTCCGCCGGCGGCGTGGTGAGGGACGAGGAGTCGGGCGGACGAGGATCGGGCGTCGAACTCGTCACGGGGAGTTGGACGTCCTGTGTTGACCACATGAGGAAGGGCTCCAGCACATGCCGTCCGCCGTTTTTGATGTCTAACTGATTCCAACAATCGTTGATTTGTGGCATTGCTTTAAAGAAACAATGGTTTCATTTAGGACTTTACACTGCAAAACACCAGATCAAGCTATTTTCAACAAACATGGTCGATCGGACTTCCAGTGTTTTCGAGTATCCGCTGACATACCTGGCATACCGCGATACCCACACTTCCAACACTTCCTTCGATCGGAAGAAAGGCCCCATCCGTTTGATCGGACTCAGCGGTGCCCGCTTTAGCGGCGGCCTCGTGTTGAGTCCCAAAACTGGTGAGTCAGTGGTTTCAACTCACGAAACATCCGAGTCAGTGGTGCCACATCAAATCCAAAGGTAAAAGCGAACAAACACCCTACACCGACCCGTCGTACCTCCGAAGCGATTCGGTGTCCCACCTCCTCAGGTTCGGTACGACTGGAGGTCCACGCCGTCCATCGGGATATAACACGACCTCCGAGTGGCTCCAAGCACGCCATGCTTCGGGTGAACGAGAAGAGCTCCGTGTGTGCAAAGTCCGAGGCCAAAGCCATGAAAGCTAAGCAGGTCAAACCAGAAACTAAGAGGGAGAGGTCTGACCAAGCGAGGCTGTGCAGCAACAAGGAGAAGTCGAGTTTCAGAAGGTCGAGTGCCAACACGGCGAAACCCAAGCAGGCGAATCCTTTCAAGAAGACCATGAAGTCCAAATGCAAGCGCTCCAGAATCGACGATACGGATCCCAAACGTGCCAGCCCCACACTACTGGATGCCGAGTCCACTCGTGCGAAGGAGCGCAAGAGGGGCGACGGCTCCAAATGGAGGAAGTCCAGCACCAAGCCGGAAGAGCCCGAGTGTGCCATGCTCCGCAACAGCGACGTGGAGCCCAAGTGCGCCAAGCCCAAGATGGACAGCAAGGAACCGAAACGTTGGTGGCTCTTCGCGGGCGAATTGAAGCCCAAATGCAAGAAGTCCAGTGCCAATACACATGGACCCATTCGGCCATGGCTCCGCAAGAAGGGCAGCAAGTCCAGATGCAAAGGGTCCAACACCAGCGCCGCCAAGTCGAAGTGCGCCGAGCTTCGTAAGGACATCGAGAGGCCGAAATGTGTACACTCGACGACGGATAGAGGGAAGAGAGGCTCGAGACGGGACATGCCCAGCATGAATAGGAGCGAACCCAAATGAGCATGACTTCGGGTCGACAAGGAGCTGCCCAAATGCAGAAGGTCCGAAGCCAATGCGGTGAAGCCAAAGCGGGTCACGGAGTGTAACGGCGGAGTGGAGTCTGAAGTGACAAGGTCCAAGACCAGCAAGATGAAGCCCATGCGTGCCATGTTAAAGACCAAGAACAGCAAATCCGCTCAGGAGAGGCTCCGCAAAAGCATCGTGGAGTCCAGGCGTAAGAGGTCCAAGACCAGCAGCAGGGAGCCGAAGTGTGCCATGGAGCGCAAAGGTGGAGACAAGTCCAGATGTGAGAGATCTGGCACCAGCGATGATGTCTCCAGACGAGCTGAGGAGCGTAGCAGGAGCGCAAAGCCAGGAATGGCATGGTCCAAGGCAAACAAGTTGGAGCTCAAGCAAACCAGGCCGAAAATCGATGGAGACAAACCAAAGCAAACGTGGCTGCGGGGCAACATCAAGAAGTCCAGGTGAAGAGAATCCAATGCAAACACGGCCAAGCCAAGGCAAGCAAACGATCTCAAGGATGACGAGCTAGACAGATGCGCCATATCCAAAGCTGATGGTGCCAAGTCCAATTGTACCATGCTCCGTGCAAGCAGAAGGAAGTCTAGAAGCACATGGTCCAACACCAAGGGGGAAGAGCCCAAGCGGCTCACTGACATGATCGACGTGGCCAAGTCCAAGTGCCCGAAGGATCGCAAAAACAGCGAGCTGTCCATCCGCAAGAAATCCAAGATGGATGTCACCAGGCCCAGCTGCGACACACTTCGAGTGAACGACAAGAAGCCTGAATGTAAAGGGTCCAACGCCAGCACCACCGATCCCATTCGAGCTGTGCTATGTGCTGATATCAGGAATCCTGGCTTTACATGATCCAAAATGAACGGCATGAGCTCTAAACAAACTGTACTAGAGATCGAAAACAGCAGCCCTGCATGTGCGAAAGAGTGTGAAAACAGAAAGAAGGCCATGTGCAAGAAGTCCAAGGTAAAAACCACCAGCTCTGGCCATGTGAAGCTTTGAATGAATGATGACAAATCAAGCCTTACTGACTCAATCACCGATAGGCTGAAGAGGAAGCCCATGCATGACACTCCAAAGAACAAGAGTGTTGAACCTGAATGGCTGAGGCTTTGTGCTAGCAACGAAGGTTCGAGCTTCAAGAAATCCAAGGCCAGCACGGCTAGCTCCATATGTGCGAAGCTGCGAAGCGACAAGATGAACTCCAGGTGCAGGTAGTCCAACACCAGCGAGAAGAGTCCGAGGCTGTTTCTCGCGAAGGCCGAAGGATGAAAGCCGGCACGAGTCAAGGAGTGCATTGAAATGAAGAATCCTGTATGTAAGAAGTCCAAGACCGAGACCAAAAGCTCTGAGTGTGCCACACTTTGGGGTGAAGGGAACAAGTCAAAAGCTGTGAAATCTAGGACAAGCAAAAAGAAGCTAAGGCGTGCCAGTCCAAACAAAGAGAAGGAGAAGTCGAGTGTGGTGAAGCTCTTGACCAGCGAGGTAAGTCCGAAGCAGCCTTTGCCCAAGGGCAAAAGCATGAGGCCCAGTCGTGCCATTGACCGTGTGGGTGACGTGGAACCCAGGTGCAAAAAGTCAAACGCCAAGAGACCCAGGCCGGATTGCACGACACTTCTGGGCGGCATGAGGAATCCGATATGCAAAAAGTCCAAGACTAACAGCATGGAACTGACTCAAGCCATACTTTGAAGCAACAAGGAAGATCCAAGACAGCTGTAATTCAAAATCAACAACATCAGTGCCATGCATGTCAGTCCGAAAATCGATAGAGTAGGACCCAATTGGCCTGGAGATTGCAAGAACAAGGGTAAGTCTGAATGTAAAAAGTCAAGGGCCAACACTGAGAACTCAAAGCATGCCAAGCTTTGTACTGACATCAACGGGTCCGAGTGAACGAAGTCCAGTACCAAAAGCAAGGATTCAAAGCGACTCCTGCTGAAGGTAGAGATCTGAGGTCCGAACCGCGCGGAGCTTCGCATGAAGGTGGTCAGTCCCGAATGCAAGTGGTCCAAGACGGACGACAAAGGCCCCGAACGTCCGAGGCTGTGTGTCAACGAGGGAAAGCCCAAACTGACAAAGTCTAAGATGGACAGGAAAAGCTCTGGTCTAAACGAGCCAAAGACTGAAGATGCCAATCCCACACGTTCAAAGCCATGCGGCAGTAAGACAGGACCCAAGCGCCCGAAGTCGGAGGCTGACAAGGGCAAGCCAAAGCATGCGAAGCTCCGGGCAAAAGCCGCGAGGCCCAGCTGAGCAAAGTCCAAAGGCGAAGACATCAGCTCGAAACATGAAAGCCCAAAGACCGAGAAAGCCAAGTCTGAACATCCCATAGAGCGCAAGAACAATGAGAGGTCTAAATGTAAGAAGTCCAAGGCAAACATGCCCAAGTCACAGTGAATAAAGGATCGTGCGGACATGAGCAGTTCTATGTTGCTAGGATCCAGCACCAAAGTCGCGCTTCCAGCACATGCAAGGCTCCGGATGGGCAGTACGGATCCAAAAAAGCTCACGTCCGACACCAAAGGCAAAAGGTTCAGGCAACCGATGCTGCGGAGCAAAAATGAGCTACCCACGTGCGTGAAGTCGAACGCAAGGGTGGCGAAGCCCATATATGCATAGCTCCTGATCACCAGTTGAGCGGGACGTTTTCTGTTCTTTTCTTTTGCAAAATTCATGCGGGCCATTTCACAGACAGTCAATAGAAATAACAACACATACAAAAAACACTCAAACCTTCTTTCCAACTTCAATATTCCAAAAAACACCCTTTTCCTTGCAGCGTGAATGGTGGAATCTTTCGTCAGTTGATGTCCATCTTTGGGTTCCAGTTTTCTTGTTTTTTAGCGAGAGGCCATCGCTATTCGGTTGGAGGCCATCGCTATTGGTTGGAGGTCATCACAATTAGGTTGGAGGCCATCGCTATTAGGTTGGAGGCCATCGCTATTAGGTTAATAGCGATGGCCTCCAACTATTAATGGTTTTGAGGGGTTCCCGGTCAGCCATGGGGGTGTGAAAACACATGGTTTAAGAGGGTCGGGTCGCCCTCTTGACACTCCGACTCCAAAAACCATCGTAGATTCGGGTTGTGCTCAGTCAGGTTGATGATCGATGCGCTTGGGAGTCATGCCCCTTGGGCAGCTGGACCCCTGAAATCAAGGCTTTTGGAGGGAAAGGGGTCCTGCTGATGATGCGATGACGCTTGAGCCTTTTCCTTTGCTTCCCACTAAGCTTGAGCCTTTCTCTTCATGCTCTCCTCAAGGGCGTGAAGAAGGCTGGATGGCTGAGGTCCAAGATGAAAGCGGAGAAGTCCAACTGCGCATAGGATCGCAGCAGCGCTGAGGACCTCAGCCGGTCCCGTGGGTCTGTGACCGGGTCCTGCCAGAACAGGGAAAGGCGCACCATGTTCTTTCGGAAAGCATGGGGATTGGATTTGAGGTCTCACCCTTCAAAGATGAGCTCAAAATCCCTGGGCTTTTTCCAGATTCTTTGTCCCGTTCTCTTTTTCTACACCGGCTTTCATCTTTTGAGCCACATTTGGGCCAATTTGGGTAGCCCTCGTCTCAGACTCCCTCTTCCCCAAAACGCGAACTGAACCGCGGGAGACCGGACTTCGCGCGCGGTTCGAAGTACGCTCCCACCCACACGAGTACGTCCCAAGGTCTGGGTCGTGAGGACGTGGCGAACGTGCAGCCCAAGCAGCTCCAGGTGGAGAAAATCCAAGACCGGAGCGGAGGAGCTGGGCTGTGCGGGTGACCGCGAGGACAAGGTGGGGCCGATGAGGACTTTGTCCAGCACCGACATGGAGCTTCCCATGCGCACCTCGAGCGGTTTGGAAAGGTAGGTGGGGCAAGGAGGAAGGATGGGAGCTGAACAGATGGGTCAAAGAATGAGTAAACTGAGATAAACGAGAAACGAAGTACCGAAAAACCTTCAAAGGGGGTGGAGATCCACAGGGAGATCCACGTATACGTATACGTAGTATAGGGGTATTCAATGGGAGATCCCGAACGGGCTCGGTGCCTTCCAGGTGACGGGGTCCGGCTGATGATATGTGACAAAGGCCATTGCTACCATTGCTACTAGGTTGGAGGCCATCGCTATTGGTTGGGGGTCATCGCTAGTAAGATGGAGGCCATTGCTATTGGTTGGAGGCCACTGCTATTAGCTAGGAGGCCATTGCTACTAGGGTGGAGACCACCGCTACTCAGCTGATGATAGACTAACCAAAGGGAGCTTCGGATCAGATCCGTGCCGGTCTTCCGGCCTCGCCAGAGGTCAAGAAGGAGGAGTCCAGGCATGCGAGGCTTCGTAGAAAGAGCGCCAAGCCAATGTCGACGGAATCCAAGACCGACACCGAGAAACCCATCCTGGAGCTGGTTCCGTGTACCCCCGAGCCGGATCCCATCGCACCAAACGTACGGGGTCGAAAGCCTTCGAACCTCACAGGGATCCTATCCGGGTGATCCTATCCGGGACCGTGCGGATCCTATCCGGGTGACGTGTCACTGGTCTTCTGTCGCGTTTCGGGCCACGAGGTCCCCCCCAAAACGTGGCATACTATGCCCAGTGCATCCTAGGCAGGCAAACCACGAGTACTAAGGAACCAGGGATTCGGAACCGGTCTATGGTTTTAGTCGAACTGGAACCAACTGGATACCAGCTACTAGCGTCGGGGTTTCGTCACCCGGTTTGCAGAAAGTCTGCAAACATAGATAGTGCCTGGATGCCTTGGGATGTCGCGGCCGCCGTGGTACTCAGGTCGGCTGGGTCAACAGGTCGATGGCTGGACTGCACACCGGGACAGCCGGATGGACATCCCTGGGAGTCAAAGACCATTAAAATAATGGTTGACCTGGTTTTTGTATTGTAAAATCCTTAGTTGATTGGGTAAAGCCTATTAAATTAATGGTTGTTGGAAGCCTAGGGACATGAATGACTTCTCCAAACCGGCAGCTGTTCGACGGCTTTCGAGGAGTTTCCATCGCTTCGGTCGTTGGGGCCCTGGCGTTGCCGCCCCTAACGAGGACTTCGTAGCGTCCGATCGCTCCGTTCGAGTCGCGATGCCAGGCCCTAACTTCCTAGCGAACCTTGTTCCATCCCGTCCTGATCAAGGACTGTGCCAACGAGGTGGGTCCCAACATCACCACGTCCAAGGCTGACCTGCGGAGGACAACAAACGCGCCGTCAACGCGCGATGCGAGATGGGGCGGAGGTAGGAAGGACGTGGAGCAGGATGGAGGTTCTCGATATCACGACATGACTCATGGGACTAACATATGCATAACTTAAGAGTATATCCATTCCCTTTGATGGTGCAGCCCTTTATCAAACAGTGATAATAATTGTTTACCGACTGTTACAGGGAATGGGACACACCTCATGCAAATTAAACATATAAAATCATGTATACCACCCAAAGAGGTGGTTTACAGAGCTCCCGTGACAAGTATTTTCCATCCGGTGACTACCATCCTTTGGGCAGTGCTGGTATGCAGCACGCATATGCCTACATTGACCTCTTTTCCATTACCCTGATGGGTAAATAATACATAATATATATATATATATACATATTTTGTCTCACACATTGGAGTGCTCGGCCACCCGTGACCTCAAAAACCTCCAGGCTCGCTCGATGACTCACTTCTCTTTTCACGCAAAATCCAAGACAGCTCGGGCACCGGACAGCAAGAAGCTCAATCGAGTTCTTCCCAGTGTGAACATCCGCAACTCTGCTTGGGCGAAGCTCCTACCGGTCCGACACCGCCAGACAACCCGGGCGACCGGTGAAGCTCGGCGGTCGCGCAGTTGGCGAGCACCGTTCCAAGGGGTTTCAAGCCGCTTTTGAAGTGCTTTTTGTTGGGGGAGGTATGACGGGTACCAGATATAGCTTAAATAGATCAAAAACAGACCAGGACCCTCCTCCTGTATTTAAAATTTGGTGTCTATTTGAATAGCCCCAACTAGCTGTGATTCGGGGTGTCCATTCACCACCCCGACTGGGGGTCCTGGTACGTGTTTTTTGGAGCCAATTTCTGCGTTCTGGTCCTATGCACCACCACCTTCAATCACTGTCAGCCACAGGACATTGGGTCGCCCATCAAACCGGCGGCCGATTGGGTCGAGGAAGGGTTACACCTTCAGTGCCCCCTTTCCGACCTGTTGAAGGCTCAGTTCCTGTTGAAGGCTCCGCTTCCCAATTTGGCACAAAAAAGTTCAGGATCCATATGCCAGGCACAGCTGTTGAGAATGGATTAAAAGGAAATATACGATGCATATCATATATATGAAATAGATGATGGCAAATAAATCATCCAAGATCTTTCCAAGGCAATATACTCTTAGTCATGGAAACGTCTTCACCTCATTGGAAGCACCAGAAAGCTGAAACCGGCTTTTGGCCGCGTCGGTGGGTCGCGTCTTCTGGTGCTCCGCACCTCGTCAAGAAGGCGGAGCCGGTGTGCAGGAGGTCCGAGATCGGCGCCGGAAGGTCCGAGCGCACAGAGCTGCGGATCGACGAGCTGAAGCCCAAATGCACCAGGTCCAGGACCTCGGTTTCAGCCGCCGAGTGCTTCGGACCGCGAGGCCGGCCGGTGGCGCGTGGAGCGTGGGGAGCGTGGGGAGCGTGGGGTGTGTTCCAGCAGTCACAGAGCTGGGTTCGATGCCGAACGAACGGAGGTAGTGCCCCTGTCACATCCACTCACTCAAACACCACCCCGTCTTGTGACTGCTGGTTGTCTTCGTGGCTTTTTGTTCCGTTTTTCTTAGAATCTGCTGGCCAGTTTGAGGTGGAAATAGAGGCTCCAAACAGCCAAACTTTGGCACAACTTCGAGTATCCGCACACCATCTACCTGGTGCATCAATGGTTTTTGCGTGGGACTGGGGTCCCAGGCAGGATCCACTTAGTATACACCTCTTCCTGGGACAATGATTGAACGCTTTCAATGGATGTTCTCTTTTGGGTCACCCCAAACCGTATCCACCCAGTTGTTTGGACTTCCGGGTCCACGTTCCGGATCCTCTCCGGGCGAGATCCGGGCCGATCTGCCAGCAGTCACAGCTCAGCTATGTTGGGGTGCGGACTCCATGGAGGGATGTGCAGGTGCCCCTGTCACATCCACAGCCCCTGAATGGGACGAGCAACACTGACCACGAGCTACACCACCCCTAGCCTTTGTGACTGCTGGGAATTCCTTCCCTATCTGTGACTGCTGGCGTCGAGCGCTTTTCGATGCATTTTGGGTCGAAGAAAGGTTTCAGCCAGCCTGCAGAGCGTGACCTGGGGGGGGCTGACCTGACACATCGGCTCAAGCAGTGAACCCAAAGAAATGGTCCATCGGCCTCGCCAAGACGATTCACAGAGTTCGGTTGACTTATTGTTTTCATGCTGGTGCGTTCCCAACGGTGGATTTTGTGGCAAAAGAATACCTATAGACCCTGAGTGACCTCTAAGATTGGACCACCAACCACCCGCAAAGATGATCTTTTCATATCAAGGCAAAGGTCATGTCCGGGCTCCAGCTAGTTCTTAGGGGATTCAAACCATCTTAAAACATTATATTATATACTCTGCGAGTCAAAGACTATAAAAAGAATGGTCTGACGAGTTCGGTGACCCGAGTCAAGGAATTTCCTTTACTTCAGTCGGTCAAAATGTAGTCGAACTGGACTTCGTTCGGGATATATATGAAAACATTGGACTCCCACAGCCACGGTCTGTGAACTTCTCCACTTCCACCCCACTTCCACCCACGTTCCTCGCTCCCACCGTTCGTCCTCGTCCTCAGACCGTTCCCATTGTTGCTCGAGGGAAGAACGTGCGTCGACACGCCCCACGGTGGGCTGGACGGGGTCGAACTCCGGAGGGTGGAGCGAAGCGGCCGAACGCACGGACCGGGCGTGGAAAACGCCGGAGCGACCGCACGGCCGTTTTCAGCTCATGGAGGCCAGACCGCGCAGCGCGGTGTCGAACAGGTCTCCCATGGGGAGACTCCCATCCGAGCTTCCCGACGGACAAGGAGCTTCCCATGCGAGCTGAAGAGCCTGCCGAACCCCGCGGGCGGGGAACCCCCCGACGGTGACCGAGGTTGGCGGTGAGGCTGGGTCTGTCGATCACCGAGCTCGGTCTCCTGGTTGGACTCAAAAGGGGCACGTCGTTCGACGGACGGATCGACCGGTCGACACATTTTTTGGGGGGTCTGGTGGAGTCTGGTGGGGCACTGGAGCAAACCGCCCTGGAGCACACGTCTGCCATCTTTTTCCTGCCGGAGGATGTTCCGACATGTCGTCTGAAAAACCGCTTAGCGGATTCACCATCGATCAGAGATCTGATCCGTGAGATGATCCTTTAAAGGGGATCTCTTTCAGCCGTAACTAGAAGTCCATCCTTTCTTCCCAGCTTCGTAGCTGCATCTTTGCCTTCTGCCCTTTGCCCATATCTGCCCAGGCACGCGTCAACGTCGAAGGTCCCAGCAAGATCGTGTCGAGCAAGAAGGAAGACAATCCCAGCCTTCCAAAGGCCTCCGGTCGATCGGCTTCGCCGTCTACTACGACCAGGTACAAGAGTGAAGGACAAGAGCCTGGTGCAACATCATGTAAAATTCTGTTGTAGAACCATGGTTCTTGGGCAAAAAGCGATATTCAATCCAGGGAACCATGCTATACCTGGATCTTCCAACAGTGACAAATGTCTGCCTTTTCATCCATAAGATCAGCCAAAAAGGCAAACATTTGGCATGTCCTTGGACGATCCAGGTACTAAATCAATTCACAGTGCTTCTCCGGGGAAGCCAAACCTAGTGTGCCCACTCTGCCCACCGCCCGACAGACGACCTTCGTTCCCTCAGCGGTCGCGTTCCGCACTTCGCTTCGTCGAAGCGGTCGAGGAACGTCGCGATGGATGGAGACCCGACAGGAGGGGCCCTGTCTGGAAGCCAAACGTGCGGTAGTGTGGGGTAGTGAAGCGCCAGGACACCCCGACAGGAGGGTCCTGGTATATATGTGCTGTAATATATCCCAGGGATCCCAGTTACCACTATATAAGGAACCAGGGATTCTAAGTCTAAGGTTTTAGTCTTTGGAACCACTGGTTACCAGCTATAGTGGTAACTGGATCCGCTGGGTATTTTAATCGATACAGTCGGGATAGTATCAACAGCTTTGTTTCCAGGTGCCTGGGGAGTCTCATGGTAAGCAAGCAAGGGAATGACATCGAAAACAGCCACTCAAGTTACAAGAATGGTGGAAGAAACAGGTGAATTCTATCGAATTCTGCTGGGTTCTAGGGTGGCATTCCAACATGAATCAGTGCCCGTGTCGAACCCTAATATCCATATGGCCCATATATGGCAGTGACCTCAAACCTGGAGCCAAACCCTAGTACATTAGTAGGCCATTCTGTGTATCCATTTTCGGTGGTCAACCGTCGGGTCCCCAGCTTCTGACACTCAACCAGGCTCTAGCCCCCTCCCGCGCCTGCAAGGGCATCAAAGACTCCAGGAGAGAAGAGTCCAACGGCAAAGTGAAGAATTCCAGCTGGGTGGAGCTGCGAAGGGGCAAAGGCAAGTCGAGATGTGAAGAATCGGAGACTGACAAGGCCAAGTCGGTTTGTGCCAACGACTGAAAGGACAAACTGGATCCCGAGTGCAGGAAATCGAAGACGAAGGGAGCCAAACCGAGTTATGCCATACTTCTAAGTGACGCCAGCAACTCCAGATATACAAGATCCAAAACCAACGAGGTGAATCCCAGCTGGGTTCTACTGAAGACCAACAAAGGCAGCTCGACGTGAGCAGTGGAGCGCACGAAGAGCGAGAAGTCCGATTTCAAGAGATCCAAAACGGACGAGAACAGGTCGAGACGGGTAGCGCTGTGCACCGAAAGTGTGGGTCCTAAGATGACACTATCCGAGGCCAAAGGCAAAGGGTCTAAGCAGAATTGCCCGAAGACGGGTGTCAAAAAGTCATGGCAAGAAGAGCTCCGCAAAAGTGGCTGCAATCCCGTGTGCAGGAAGTCTAAGACCAACGTGGCAAAGCTGGCTCAAGCATAGGATCGCAAGAAAGACAAGGATCCGGTGATCACGGAGTCTGGGAGAAACATCACGGATTCCATACAAGCCATGCTTTGTATCAAGAGTGAGAGTCCCAGGCGAAGGTAGTCGAGGGCTAAAGCTGCGCTTTCAAGGCGTGCGAGGCTTCGAACGAAGATCATCAGTCCTAGAGTTAAGTAATCCATGATCAAAATTGAGAATCCCAAGCAGCACGAGCTGTGTGAGGACATCAAGAAGCCCAAGGACGCATGGTCTGAGGTAAATGGGTTCGATCCCAGCTGTATCTTTCCAAAGGCTAAGAAGCAGAGTCCCATGCGGACGTGCTGGCGCACCAACAAGGCACTTTCCAGTTCAGCAAGATCCATCACCAATGAGAAGCTGTCCGCCCTGCAGAAGCTGAAGATTGAAGAGGCCAAGTCCATTCAGGTGATGTCTCTTGAGGATGAGCTAAAGCCCAAATGCAAAAGGTCCATCGCTAACGATGCGAACTCAGACCGCATGAAGCTGCGCACGGACAAAAAGGACCCCGACTTGGCCACATCCAAAGCCAACGAAAGGCTGTCTAATTGGAACTTTTTGAAGATCAAGAAGGCCGAACCCATGCATGCGAAACTGTGCAAGAACATCAGCAAACCCATATGCAAAGGGTCCAAGGCCAATACGGCCGAGTCGAGTCAAGCAAAGCTCTGTGAGGACAAGGAGAAGCCAATGAAGGGATAATCCAACAAGAACATGAAAGATCCCAAACAGGTCTTCCCAAAGATCAAAGACAAGAATCCCAACCTGCTAGATCCCCGTGCCGGCGAGGTGGACCCTAAATGCAGGAAATCCAACACGAAGACGGGCAAGCCGAAGCGTGCCACCGAGCGCGCCAAAGGCGTGGAGCCCAACGTCACCCGGTCCAGGATCAACGGCGTGAAGCCCGTGCGGAAGACGTTGAACACCAGGATCGACGAGCCGGACCAGGCGGCGGAACGCAAAGGCACCATGAAGTCCAAGCGCAAGTAGTCGGAGGCCGACACACAGAAGTCCAGTTGAGCCATGCTGTGTAAGAACAGCAAGAAGCCGGGATGCACGAATGACAGGGCCAGTAGCAAGAAGCCCATGTGGGAGTAGCTTCGGGGTGACGTGAAGAGACCCAGATGGAGGAAGTCCAAGACTAAGAGACAAGAGTCAACACAGCCGATGCTATGCGAAAACAGCGGAAGTCCCAGATGGAGGAAGTCCAACACCAAGGGCGCCAGGTCCATTCGCACGGAGCTTCGGACCAATGAGATGCTCTCCGAATGCACGTGGTCCAAGACTGGCATGCAGAAGCCGAAGCGCCCACGGCAGAAGACGGAGGAGGCCAAGTCCAAACATCCAAAGCTGTGAATCAACATGAAAAGGCCTAACATGGTGAAGTCCAGGATGGATAGCAAAGATTCAGGCCTTGACCTTTGGAAGAGCGAGAATGCCAAGCCCAAGCAAACTGGAGATCGTGTCAACGTCAGGAGGCCGATGTGCAAAAGATCCAAGGCCAACGAGATGGGCTCGGACCGGGCCATGCTTTGAATCGAGATGCTCAAGCCCAAGTGCACAAGGTCCAGTACCGACGTCATGAAACCTAAGCGAGCTGATTTGAAGATCAGGAGGCTCAAGCCCATGCGCGTAAAGCTCTTCAAGGGCATCAAGAGCCCCAGGTGCAGGAAGTCCAAGACTGGTGAGTTGGATTCGAGCATGGCGAAGCTTTGGATCAACGGCGGCAAGTCCAAGTTCACGAGGTCCAAAATGGACAAAGACAAGTCCATGCGAGCCACTTGCATCAGCAAAGAAGCGAAGCCCAGATGGCTGAAGGAACGGAGAAATAAGCTGGGCTCGAGGTGTAGAAGGTCCAAGACTAGCATGAAAGACTCGAAGCGTGCCGTCGACCTGAGAAGCATCAAGAATCCTGATGAGACAAAGTCTAAGGCTGAAAAAGATGAGTCACAGCGAACTAAGCCGAAGCTTGAAGAGGAGAATCCGGGTCACGAAAGGCTCCGCGGCAACATGAAGGGGCCCAGATGCAAGAAATCGGGTGCCAATGACGCAAGACCAGCTTGAGCACACGACCGGGTTGAAATGGAAAAGCCCATGAGAGCATGGTCAAGTACTAACAGGCAGAAGTCTAAACAAGCCAAACCGCAAAGCAAGAAGACTGACTCTACATGTGCAAACATTCGCAGGAATAGGCATGAACCAAAGTGGTTGAGGCTTCTCATGAACAAGATTAGCCCCATATGCAAAAAGTCCAGAACGAGCGTCGCGAAGTCAAGTCACACAAAGCTTCTCAGCAACAAGGAGAGCTCTGAACGTGCGCTGTCCAAGGGTGATACCGCCGACCCGAAGCGAATGCATTGGAAAATGGAGAAGGCCAAATCCATTCGAGCAAAGGATTGGAAGAACGGCACGGAGCCAAGTGCCACAGGATCTAAGATCGGTAGGAAGGGTTCCGTGCGTGTTCTCATGATGACCGAAGAGAGCAGGTCAAGTCTTGCAAAGCTTTGCATCAAAAGGCTCAAGCCAAGTTTCAAGAAGTCCAAGACCAATACTGCGAAGCCCGACTGAGAAAGCGATCGTAAGGGCAAGAAGGAGTCCAAGTAGACTCTGTCCAAGATGAAGAGGGTACTTTCGGACCTCACTAGCCCAAAGACCAAAAAGACCAACTCCAAATGTCCTGGGCCTCGAATAAACAAGGTGAAGTCCAAATGTAAAGGGTCCAACACTGAACATGCCAAGTCCATGCAGAAGAGGCTTCTGATGGAAATGGATGATTCGCAGGTTGCAAAGTCCGAAAGGAACAAGGTGAAGCCCGATCTGGCAATACCACAGGGTGAGAAAGCCAACTCTACACATGCGAAGCTTCGGGAAAGCGACAGAAAACCAAAGCTGTTGAAGCTTCGTGCCGACATCGTCAAGCCCAAATGCACAGAATCCAGGACCAACAAGAATGATCCAGAACGAGTTCTAGTAATGATGGGCATGAAAAGATCTGCTCGAGAGGGACCACGAGTAGAGGAGGATGAGCCTAGATGCAGGAAGTCCAGAACGAACATGCAGAGGCCCAAACGAGCTGAACTTCTGGCCAAAGTGGAGAAGCCCAACTTCACGAAGTCCAAGACCAACGACAAGAAGTCAAGGCGGCACCTTCCCAGCAAAAGAGAGGTGGGCCCCAAGCGGCCAGGCTTTTGGAAAGGCAACAGGAAGCCCAAGTGGAGAAGGTCCAACACCAGCGCGACGCTTCCCATCTTTGCACATGACCTCAAAAACAAAAACAAGTCCAGGCGTGTGCTGTCCAAAAGCGAGGTTGGCAGCCCGGCACGGCATTGGCGCACTAAAAAGGAGGCGAAACCGATGCGGCAGAGTGATTGTGGCGAAATGGAGGAGTTCGGGTGCAAAAGGTCCAGAACTGACAGGAAGAAGGCCAAGCAAAGCAAACTGTGGACGAACACGGAGAAGCCCAAATTGGCATAATCCAAGACCAGCATCATGAAGCTCAAGCGCATGATACCAAAAATCGAGTAGGTGCTCCCGCAGCGCGCGAGCATGCGCAAGAACGACGCGGGGCCGATCATGGTGAAGCTGTGCGCCGGCATCGTGGAGCCCAGAGTCAAAGGGTCCAAGATCAGCATTAAGGATCCCAAGCGGCACATGCTGTGTACGGACGCTGAGGAGGCCAAGTGTGCAGGGTCCAATGAAAACAAGGTCAGTCCCAAACAGCTCATGCCAAAGACTAAGAAGCTCAAGCCGATGTAGCTAAGTTGTTGCAAGAACAAGAAGGGCTCAAGCTTCAAAAGGTCTAAGACTAAAGCTGCTGGACCCATTTGGAGGAAGCTTCGGAGAGAAGCAGACGGTCCACAGATGGCAAGATCCAGTGCCAAAAGCATGAAACCCATGCAAGACAGACCGAAGACTAAAGAGCTGAAGTCCATGTGAACGAGATTTCGCGAAAAAGGGCTCAAGTCCAAATGCAGAAGGTCCGAAAGCAACAGTGGTGGTGCACAGCGCAAGTGGCTCCTGGCCAACAAGGGTGGCCCCAAATGTGTCAGATCTGACACCAAAGGCGACGTGCCCGGTTACGCCACGCTTCGAACTGGTGTAGAGCTGTCAGGCATCACATGGTCTGACACCGAGGGGGGAAAGCCACAGCATGCTAGGCCCATGACCAAAAAGATGAAGTCAATACGTGCATGACTTCGTATGAAAAGTGATGGCTCTGAGCGCAAGTAATCCAAGACGGAGGCCAAAAAGCCGGGTTGGGCACGTGAACGCACGGACAAGGAGCTGTCGAGATGAAAAAGGTCGGGGACGGACATGGAAGGGCCAAGGCGGCAGGAACTGTGGACAGGAAGGGAAGAACCCAGTTGGGCATAGTCCAAAATGAAAAGAATCGAGTCCAATCACGAAGTACCAGGTACAGATGGCGTCAAGTCTGGATAGGCATAAGATTGCAAGAACAGGATGGAGTCTGATCGCAAATGGTCCAAGACAAACACCGCGCTGTCCAATCGAGCAAGGCTCCGTACAGAGAGTTCGAAGTCTAATGTCACCCAATCCAAAGTCGGCAGCAGCGGTGCCAAGCAAGCAATGCCTATCACCAACATGATGCTTCCGAAGCGTACATAGCTTTGCACAAACAAGAAAAAGCCCAAATGCAAAGAGTCCAGAGCCAACATCACGCTCTCCAATCAACAAAAGCTGCGCGAAGAGAGGGAACTGCCTGACCTCGGCTGCAAGGCTCTGGCGGGGAATCATGTTGAATCTTGAACAACCGTGGCTTCTACTAAATGGACTATTAGGCCAGACACTCCATGTATGCCGTATATGCCTACATTGGGGTGTTTTGAGGGGTCAATGGGGCGGCATATATGGCAGTCCCATGAGTCGTGTCTGGGTTAGGCTAGACCACCAGGTGAAGCTTCGTTACCCAGAGGCTCCAACCCAACCCATCGGACCGTGGGGCGGTGCAGGTCACAGAGGCAGCCGTGAACCATTCTGCATCATTCAGCACGAGGCAAATCGGTGTTTTGGAAGGTAGGTACCAGGGACCTTCTTTCGGGGTGTCCTGTCTGGAGGTCCAGTAGTGGGCTGGGGCTTCCACCAGCCAGGTGACCCCGTTCACGGAAGGTGCTGGTAGGCCAACCCAAGGAATTGGTAGGCCAAGGTAGGCCGACCGCAGCCGGGCGGAGGGGAGACCCGCGGACCCGTCACCGACGATGGAAATCCAATCGATCACGTGTCTGCCGAATCCTGGCGCCCTCCCGGAAACACCAAACGAACACGGGCCAGAAAGGGCCGATGGCCTCCAACCTAATAGCAAAAGCAAGCTACTAGCGATGGCCTCCAACCTACTAGCCCTTTTGACACATTTGCTTTTGGCGTTGCCGTGCGCTACTCCTTGGCTTCTGGGGCCGTCTCACTGACCTCCCGTCGAGGTCCGACCTCCGTCCAGTCCTTCCTTCCGCCAGGGCACTGCACGTGGTCCGAAGGCAATGGGATGGAGCCCATGCGGAACTTCCCGGCCGCCAACGCCATGGACTGAGGGAAGCCGGTGGACCAAGCGCGAGCAACCGGCACCAGGAGGGGAGAGCGACGGGAAGGCGCTTCTTCGGGGGGACATCGGTCCCTAAGGGAGAGTGAACAACACGGTTCCAAAAGGATCAAAGAGGTCAAAAGCACCATGAATTCAAACGCATCTTTGTTGACACCCCCCAAGGCTCTTGCTTCTCAAACATCATTGGGGGGTGTGACCTCAAACAGGTGGCCCACTCCTGTTTATCTGGTGACCTCGTCGTGCTTGGAGGACCACGCGCCGGGCCGAATGGTGGATCCTCTTGTGGACGTCCCGCGCGGGCTTTCCAGCGAGCGAAGAAAAACACCTCCGGTCCCGCGAGGGGAGCTCAAACCCGATGAACGTTCCCCGTCAACACGACGATCCGTCTGGGACTGCCATAGACGGACTGCCGCCCCATTTGGACCCCGCTGGCACCCACCACCGCCCCGGTCGGCCGTTTTGAAGGCAGTCCGGACTGGCAGTCCCATGAAGCGTTTGGGTTCCAGTTCTGCTTTCTCTTCGAGAACCAGCAAAGGTTGAACCCGAACGAACTCGACTATCCGAACTTGGTGCCCTAGGTTTTCCGGGTCCTAGTGACCGTGTCACTGGCTACCTCTGTTGGAATGCTTTACCATGTGTCAGAAAGAATCTTGTGCCTGTTGCACCTTCTGTTCCCATAGCTGCTTTGACAGGAACGTTGCACTGAAGGCAGTTGGGTGGTGTCGCAGAAGCGCACTCATCCATGCCAAAACAAATTACGGTTCCTCCAAACCTCAAAGTACTGTAAAATGAAGAATCCCAAGCGCATGCAGCATGCGACGTGCGACGAAGATCCCACCCAAATGATCCCAAATGTATAGGCGTCCTTCGGTCCTTCCGCCAAGAGACGCCCAATCGACAGTGGTTCCGCGTAGACATGGAAGATCCCACTGCCAAGAGATGCGGAGCTGACCTTAACTCGACGACAAGTGGATACAAGTGGAGTGTGTGCACACGTGCACCCACGACATGCCAAATATGAAGCGGCTGAAACCACAAGGACCTGCTCGCCCCTGCTCAAGCCCCCATTTCGGGTGGTGATTGTAAGGAAGAGACTCACATGTCAAGGGCCCTAGGGGTCATCAGGGGTTTCCACGCCGGTTCCTCCGTGGCTGGCGAACTCCGCTTTTAGTTGAACTAGATCTGAAAGGTGATCTGCTTCTTCACATCGGTATACCCTAGAAGTCGAACCACCATTGTTTTAATAGCCTTTGCCGAACAACCATTGTTTCACTAAGGGTTTTACACTACAAAACCAGATCAACCATTTTTAAAATATATGGTCGACTTGACTTCTAGGGCATCGGTACATCTCTTCTTTTGTGTCCGACATCTCGAAGGAACGGACGTGCCGTTCGGCGCCTTGCTATGTTCGTTTCTTGTCGCCTCCGAGTGCGGGACGGACGGACCCGGACCACCTGGGTCTGGACCCTCATCCGTTTGAAATGGTTGGGTCCGTGAGGCGCGTGGCTTGGCCTACCAAATGCCTTTCCGTCATGACTTCTTTGATGACTTCTTTGATGCACGCGCATCTACTACACGATCTACCAGTTCTTATGTGGATCTTCTTTCCAAGGCTCACCGTGCGATCGACAGGCTCACCGCTCACCTCCGACTCAAAAAGACTCTGCCAAGGCACACGGGTGGCCCCAGCCATGCACTCGATCGCGACGACCTGAATATGTCAACGTCGGGTGTTTACATCTGCTTGTTCTCTTCAGACCTCCCAAACAACGACCCGTCTCTGGTGTGGTGTGCTTTCGATGCGTTCTCCCGTCTCTACGCATTCCAAGTACCACGGTGTGGTTCCAAGAATCCTTTTGACGGTTTTGAACTCGGACCAACATGGCCCACTTCTACCACCGCGAGCGTCCGCGTTCCCGTGTTCCGGACCTGACCCCATGGCCGTGACCAACCACCGAGCCGAGCTCGGCCTCCACCGGACCCGTCGACGACCGGCGACCGGCGAGAAGCTGCGACCTTTGGCGACTCCTGAGACCTACAACAGCGAGGTACAATAAAGGAAAAGATCCGAAGACTTGACGATTCCGCTCTCTTTCGAAAACATCAAACGGAACATGATGAACAATCATGAACAACATCTTTTGCATTTGATTTCTCAACCCGAGAACTACGATTTTTTGCATTCCCACGTGACATCCCCCCAAAACCTTGAAACGCCCCGGGGGTGAACGTGCCACCCAACTTCCCAGGCACATGGCCCTGCTGCCAGGTCACACCAGAAAGCCCAAGTGCAAAAAGTCCAAGGTGAACAAGACAGGCTCTGACTGTGTAAGTGACTGTGCTGGTGACAAGGAGCCCAAGATCAAAAGATCCAGTACCAACGAGGCGGAACCCAGATGCGCATGATTCTTCGATGAGGCTGAGGGCTCTATCTGCACAAGGTCCAAGATCAAGACTGCCAAGTCCAGTTGTGTGAGCGATCGGATCGACAAGGAGAAGTCTGGCGGAATAAAGTCTGGAACGAAAGGAACCAAGCCCGAACGAGCATATGTTCGCACGGGCACCAGCAACTCTAAGTGTGCACAGTCCGAGGTCAATAGGAAGAAGCCAGACCGCGCTTTGTGCAAGGCGGACGGCGGAGAGCCGAGGTGGCAATGGGACCGCAGGAGCATGAAAGGGTCCAGGTGAAGAAGATCCAGTGCCGAACAGGAGGAGTTTGATCAAGCAAAGCTTTGAAGAAGCGTCAATGACGCCAAGTGCACGTGATCCAGTGAGGACAAGGAGCTACCAAAGCATGTCATACTTAGCACCAGGGCAGGAAATTCCACTCAGACGGAGTTCCGCGAAGACGAGGATGATTCCAAAGTCAAGAGGTCCGGGGCCGACATGACTGGCCCCAAGCATGCAAAGCTATGAATAAACATCGAGAAGTCCAACATCACAAAGTCTAGGGCAAAAACACGTGAACTCATGCGTGACAGGCCGAAGAGCAAAAAGCAAAAGCCGATGCAGCTGAGACTTCGCGAGGAAGGTGGAAAGCCCAACCTTAACATGTCTGATGCTGATACTGCTGAGCCCACTCGAGCAAACTGTTGCACGAACGAGGCAGAGTCCAAATGTAAAAGGTCAAAGACCAACAAGACGAATCCACAGCATGTAGGACTCCTGACAAACATCAAGAAGTCCAAATGGGCATGATCGGTCACTGACATCAAGAAGACAGACTCGAAGCATGATAATCCCAAAGCTGACGTGATGAAGCCTAAGCGGACGAGTTGTTGCGCCAACAGTGGAAACTCTGGCCTTAAAAAGTCGAGGGTCAGAAGTGCTGGTTCGATCCGAGCTAAGCTTTGCAACGAGGCAAAGAGACCCAAATGAGCAAGATCAAGCACCAGAAAAAGAGGCTCAAGCCGTGCGGCTGATCTCAAGGATGCTGGCAATTCCAACCAAACATAGTCCAACACAAAGGTCGGCAGGCCCATGCACGCGACGCCAAGGACAAGCAGCAAGGAGCCTGAACGAACAAGTTGCCTTGAGGACGAAAGTGAGTCGATGCGACAACTCTCCAAGACCAACGTGATGCTTTCAAAGCGTGCGAAGGAGTGCAAGAAAATCAAGAGTCCCAACAACACGAGGTCCAAAATCAAGAGCGAGGACTCCAGTCGCACGGCACCAAAGGCGAAGAGCATCGAACCGAAGTGCGCCATTTGCCGTAAAAAGAAGGACAAACCCAGGTGCAAAAGGTCCAAGGCCGGCGAGAAACTCTCGGATTTGGCGCGTTGCATGATCAGGGTGGTGGATCCTAAACGGGCTGCGCTGTGCGAGGACGAGAAGAAGTCCGGATGCAAAGGGTCAAGGACTGGAGGTAAGAGACCTGAACAGCAGAAGCTTTGTAAGAGCAACACCGAGTCAAAATGCGCAAGGTCGAAGGCTAGCAGAAATGGGTCCACTTGGAAGAAAGATCGGGCAAGCAACAACAACTCCGGGTGGGTGAAGTCCAGGATCAGTGAAGACAATCCCGAGCGGGTGGAGTCGAAAATCAAGAAGCCTAGTCCTGGTTGTACGAAGCTTCGTGGCAACAGCAACAGCTCTGAATGCAGGAAGTCCAGCACGGACGGCAGCAGTTCAAATCGTAGCGCACTCCGCAGAAGTAGCGACAAGCCTGGCGGCACGAAGTCAAGAACCGACAAGATGGAACCCAAACATCCAGCTCCTATCAGCGGCGGAGTAAAATCAGAACGAATGAATCCTCGCAGCAACGAGAAGCTGTCCAAATGCAAGAAGTCCAAGATCAGCAATCCCAAGCCCAAACACACGGAGCTTTGTACGGATGGTGATAGTGCCAGATTCACAAAGTCCAAAGCCAACAAGAAAGCTTCAGTCTGTGAGACCCGCAGCACCAAAGAGCAGAAGTCAGGCCGTGTGAGCTGTCGCATGGAAAGCAAAGAGCCTAATCTTAAGAAGTCCAAGGTTAACATGGCCAGGTCGAAATGTGCGTGGGAACGCAACAGCGAGAAGAAGTCCGTGTGGATATGATCTAAGACCAATGAAGTCGAGTCCACTCGAGCAAGCTTAAAGACGGAGGCTGATGATTCCAGTCGGCTCATGGTGTGAAGCAACAAAGAGAATCCAAGGTGTAAGAAGTCCGAGACCAACACCAAGGGTTCCAAACAAGCAAAGGATCTCGAGAACAAGGAGAAGTCGAAGTGAGTGAGTTCCATCACCGGCAGGAAGAACACGCTGCTCAAACAAGCCAGGCCTATGACCGGCAACATGAGGCCCAAGCATGTGAAGCCCCGAATCGAAGCCGGAAAGCCAGAGCGTGCAGAGTCCAGGACGGATGCCAACAAGCCCATGCGACTGAAGCTTCGAAGGGAGGCCGAGAGGTCTAAGTGCAAAGAATCTAACGCCGACGAGAAGCTGTCCACCTCGGTGCGACTCAAGAGCGAGAATGAGAAGCCCAAGTGGCTCGTACTTCGTAGAAACAAGAAGAAGTCCAAATGCAAAGGATCCAACGCCAAAGGAACGGATCCCAACCATGAATGGCTTCGTAAGAACAACGAGAAGCCCATCCGACTGGACCAAGGGACCGAAACCGAAGACTCTGCTCGTGTGAGGGATCGCACCAATGGGAGGAAACCCGTATTCAAAGGATCCAACGCCGACAGCGTGGATCCCATTCGTAGGCAGCCCATGATGGAAGAGGGCAAACCGAGACGTGCAATGGTGTGGGGAAGCAAGGAGAAGTCGAGACGCAGGAGGTCAATGATCAAAGCTGCAAAGTCAAGTCTTGCGGAACTTTGTGGTGACGTGAGAGGCCCTAAGTGCAGAAAGTCCAAGGCCAACGATGAGCTTCCAAGTGCTGTCTGACTGAAGGCCAATGATGCCACATCAAGCTAAACAAAGCTTTGCAACAGCAAAAAGCTCTCTGAGTGCAGAAGATCCAGTACTGATGGGGCCGAGTCCATGTGTGAGAAGCTCCGAGTGAACAGGGAGAACTCCAAAGCCGGGAAGTCGAGTGTGAACAGAAAGAGTTCGAGTCGGGCAGTGGAGACGGCGAAGATCGTCAGGTCCAAACACATGAGATGTTGCAAGGGCAGCATCAGCTCTGAGTGTGCATGTCCAAAAGCTGAAAGATTCGACCCTGACCGTGAATAACTCCGCGAAGACATCGGCAGACCCGGATTGACCCAATCACAAACTAGCAATCTCAAGCCCAACTGCACCTTCGCGACCAGGAACAAGGCAAAGCCCAAGCAGCCAGAGCTTCTCAGTGATAGGGGAAGCTCTAGATGTGCAAGGTCCGAGATGAAGGTTGACATCTCTAGCTGTGAAAAGGATCGAATAGATGGACCGAGGCCCAGCTTGGCGAAGTCTAAGACGAACAAGAACAATCCCAGACTCATCCAGCGGAAGGCAAACGAGACGAAGCCAAAGCAAGCAAAGGATCTGGGTGAAGAGAAGGGATCAAGCTTGGCGTAATCCGACACCAAAGAGATGAAGCCTGCTCAACTCGAACATCTCGAAAACAGGAAGAGTTCGAGATGGGTCGTTTCGATGACTAAGAGCAAGAAGACCAAGCCAAATCAGTTTAGGCCAATCACTGGTGAGCCGAAGCCAGGTCGACAAGAGCTTCTCAAGGACATCAAAGGCTCAGGCTGAATGAAGTCCGCGGCAAACATCACAGAGCCTGAACGGCTGAGGCTTTGTATGGACAGCAGTGAACCCAAAGTCACCGCATCAAGCACCAGCGTTGTTGGCTCTGAACAAGATCTGCTGATTACCAAGACAGTGAAGCCCAGTTGACAATATGATTGTAGGGACGAGGAGGACCCCAAATGCAGAAGGTCAAGAGCCAGCATTGCTGGTCCCGTATGCACAAGACTTCTCATGAATAAGAAGGGCCCCAAATGCAAAAGATCAAGCACCAAAGCTGCCAACCCCGACCATGCAAAGCTCTTCACCAACAGCAACAATGCCAACCGTGCATGGGACAGAACCGACATGGACAAGTCCGCGTGACAAAAGCTCCTCACAAACGACAATAATTCCAACAAGGTTGCATCAATCACCAACAACGAGAAGACCAAGCCCACGCGTGCCAATCCGAGCATGGACATCGGGAGCTCTGACCGTAGGTACCCTCGCAAGGAGATCCCTGGGGCGAAACGTGCGTGGTCCGAGACCAGTGATGCTGGCCCGAAGCGCGCGAAGGAGCGTGGCGAGGAGGAGGAGTCCAGCTCCAAGTCGTCTGAAGCGAAGGTCAACGAGTCGGGTCGAAGTTTGCTCATGGTGGACAGCCGCAAGTCGAGGTAGGAGAAGGATTGTAAAGGAGGAGCTAAGCCCAAATGTAAGAAGTCCAGGGCGAAGACCGCCAATCCCAACTGGGCCGTGCTGTGGAGTGAAGGTGAAGGACCTAAGCGGGTGTGGTCAAGAACTAGCAGGGAGAGTTCGAGATAAAGGAGGCTCCGTAAGAATAGACTGAATCCCAATTGAGTGAAGTCCGGAATTGATGGAAATGATTCCAAACAAGCTTCCCCCAAAAGTGATGAGGCCAAGCCAAACCGACCAGTTGCTCGGGACGACAGCGAGAGTGCGAGTTGCACGCAATCAAGGACAAGCAAGCTGAATCCCAATTGCGTCTTCAAGATCACCAAAGACAGGAATTCCAAGCATGAGAAGGATTGCAAAGGAGTTGAGAAGCCCAAATGCAAGAGATCCAGGACCGGAGGAGCCAAGCCCAAGCAAAGATAGCTCTTCAGAAGCACCAGGAAGTCCAAGTGTACGGAATCCAACGTCAAGAGCATCAGTTCCAAGCGTGACCGGCTTAGGAGCAACACGGAGAACTCGAAGCGCGCAGATTGCCGCGACGAGGCCAAGGATCCGGGCTTTAAGAAGTCCAGTGCCAGTGAGGTGCTGTCCAGTCGTGCGAGGGAACGGAGAAATAAGACCAAGCCGAGGTGCAAAGAGTCCAGTGCTGAAGCTGCGAAGCCTACCCGACTGGAGCTACGGATCGGCAGGAGGAAGCCAAGGTGTAAGGAGTCTAAGACCAACAAGAAGGAGCCAATGCGAGCTTTGCCACAGGATGAGGGGCTGAAGCCTGACCGGCACATGGAGTGCAACAACAAAGCAAAGTCTAAGTGCAAGAGATCAAGCACCAACAAAAGACTTCCCAGTCAATTGCAGCCATAAGCAAACAGCAGCGGCTCAAGCCTGGCAAAGCTCCGCAATGAGACGGAAGAGCTGACTAAGGCGAAGTTCAGAACCAGCAAGGTGAAGTCCAAACACACCATGCCATAAGCAAAGATGGTCAAGCCTAGCTGCCCAGATGCTTGTAGTGACAAGAGTAAGTCCATATTCACAAGATCCAAAATCAACATCATTGGCTCAAACGTCACGCGGCTGAAGACGAATGATCTTGGCTCGAAGTGAGAGGAACTCCTTGAAGAAGCGGAGGATCCCAAGACCAAGAAGTCCTTGGATCCGCTGGCAGCGGGTGCGTCAAAAGCCCCAACAAAGCATGGAAGGTTGACATCCTGTAGAGGACTCCGTTCCAAAACTCGCTGGGAAAACCACCCCGGTGCCCATCGGTGCCCTCTTTTTGACGCTACGAACGGGGCTCCTGGCCTCGCTACGAACGGAGCAAGGTTCGCTACGAACGTAACAAGGACACCCAGGTGCCCTCTTTTTGACCATCCACCCCTGCTGCAATCTGGTGAGCACAGGGCTGTGGATGTGACAGGGGAACCCCGACTACCTCCATGGATCGCACCCCTTTGGAACTGTTGGTAGGAGCCCCTAGTAGCTTAGGTGGAGGCCATCGCTATGAAGGTTGGAGGCCATCGCGATAATACCGCAACAAGAAGCTACGACCGGGAGATGACCCTCTGTTTGTAGAGTGAAAATTAAAATCGGTGGATCTACCCACTCTATCCCATGGCCACCACAAAGTCGATCCATCCCATGATATCATTTGGATCCTTCTACTGGATGGGAGACGAACGCAAGGACCACTTTTTCTGCAGCGCACAACGACACACTTGTGTACGCGCGACGTGTCCGTTCTGTTCGTCCCTCCTCTCTCCGAATTGAACGAAGTTGGGTGCTCACACACCCTGAGCTCACGAGCCTGAGTTGGTTCCTGCACTCAAGGCGGAAGCGGGGTGAAATCCGCCCGAACTGGCTCCTCTTCGAACTGGATGGGCCGTTGTTCTTTCTCAGGCGGTGAAATCCATCCCAGGGTTCTTCACCATCCCCTTCAATCTCGTTCCAAAACTCTTCCACGCTCAGGAACTTTGGAGAGTTCATCACTTTTCCTCCCAAACAAATGGGGGGGAGGTGATGAGACACCCATTGCGTTCGTCCATCCCACTTGAGTTCCGTACCTCGCAACCGGTCGTTCAAACCGTACCTCGCGTATGTCGACCAACCGGTCGTTACACGGCGAGTTCACCCTCGCTCTGAGCGGCCAGCGCCAAGGGGGGCGACTCCGGTAACGTCATGCCGTAGGCGGACGAGGAGAGGCCCGTGCGCGAGGAGCTGCGTAAAGGCGTGAAGAAGCCCATGTGCACCTGGGCGGGCGGCACGGGGTGGGGAGCCGCAGGTAAAGGTCACCAAAACGGAAGAAGAATCCTGGAACCCACCAAGAGCCAAAAACGAAATGGTTGTTCCATGTTCTTCCCATGTGGCACGTGGCTGGGACTGGGGAAAAACCATCCAGAATTGTTTCTGGTTGAGATTGGGAGAGCCCAGGATGAGACCTCCGACTCCTTAAAGTCTGCAAGTTCAAGTTCCAAACAAAGTTAGGTCCCCCCAAAACCAGCACCACCCAGGCTGGGTGGTGCCTAACCCCCCTGAAGAGGTATATGCATCTTATATTGTATACATCCAAGCGACTCTGGCTGGTCTTTTGGACAAGGCAAACATTTTGCACAGTTGGAAGATCTCCGTCTGAAAAAACTTTCTGGGGGAAAATGCTTCGATCATCTTCGATTCTTGCTTCGGTCTTCGGCAGCAAAAGGGAGAAAACAGCTGGGGTTTGGATTGTGTGTTTTGTGGACTTGGAGTCCGAGTTTGCTCAACGGCAAGGTACTGCTGACCCATTTTGCAGGGGTTGTGGGAGGGATTGCATGGCATACCCCTAGAAGTCCGAAGACTATTTTTGACACCACCCAAGTAAACAAAATCCTTTTCGGGCCATCCAAAGACCATGTTTATATAGTCTTTGACTTTCAGGGATACCCTTCTTAAACCAAACCACTCCAACGCAAGTTTCGGGCAATACATGGCAACGCGAGTTCCGGTGCTCCGGCTGGGCCGAACCAACGAAAGGTGTGCGAAGACTGTGACTGTTGTTGCTCAAACCATGGGCATTTGCTTCAAGAACGCACATCGGAGCGTTTGCTACCAAAGCCAACTAAAAGAGTAAGCTTGCAACAATGACGCCACCTCGCTCAAGGAGGCTCCTCATGTTGCATCTCTGCCCAACAGTATACCATGGTCAACAGGAGTAGTCGATGTGTGAGCCGTGGGGATCAACCAACCCAACAATCCGCCCAACCCAACGATCAACTCCTCTAGTTCGTGGGCAAGGATTCTTGAACGTTCGCGTCCATGTTTGTTTCAGGAGAATGCCCTGGTAGTCTGACTACCATCAGCTTCAGCTTCAGATCAGTTCTATCGATGTTCACCTTGAAATCGATGTTCCTCTTCGAGGCTTCCTTCCTTTGACCTCTCACCCGTCCAATTGCACGACAGGGATCCCGTCCATCCAACCCACGACCCGCCCCCCTTTGAACGAGTCCGGTTCAGTCTGACCCAGGTGGCGTGGCTAACCTCCGGAGACGAGGTGTTGTCCCTATTCTTTTCTACATAAACAAAATATAAACAAATAACCATCCCCAGTCATTCACGCAGTCTTTCTATGACCGAATCCGGGTTGTCGGGCGCCCGAACCCGCGACGAGACTCCTCTTCATCACGCGTCGCATCGCGTCGGCCGAGGCACGAAGTCCAAGGCCAATGAGGAGGACTCCAACTTCGAAAGGCCGTAGACCGACGGGGAGCTGTCCAAGCACGTGGAGCCTCGCGTGAAGAGCGCCGAGTCAAGGTGTGCGAAGTCCAAGACCAAGAGCAAAGGCTCTAAACGCATGGAGGTGTAGGCGGGAGATGGGAATTCCAGGTGACTAATGGCCTGCAAGGGTATGAACAAACCTATGTGTTGATAGTTCACCACGGAAGCAGTGGAACTCAAGCGCATGAAGCTGTGTGCTGATGAGAAGGGATCGAAGTTCACAAAATCAAAGAGTGACATCATGGAGTCCAGCTTCACCCGTGAGAACGCGGAAAACGCCGAGCCCAACTGCACGTTCGCTCGCGACAACGTCGCCGAGCCCGAGTGTAGGTAGTCGAAGAGGGACACCGACGAGCTGAAGCGCGTCCACATGAAGATCGATGCTGCCAAGTCTGGACGAAACCGACTCCGTAAAAACGTGAAGAAGCCGAGCTGTGCGAAGGTGACGAGCAAGCAGGTGGAGCCTGAGTGGCAATGGCTCCGCAGCAAGGGTGAGGAGCCAGAGGTGACCAGATCGCAAGTGAATAAGAAGAAGTCCATGCAGACCAATCCACAAGCGAACAAAGCGAGTTCCAGATATGCCAAGTGTTGCGAAGACAAGGACAGTCCCGACTTTATGAAGTCAAAGAGCGACGCCACGAATGCCAGGTGACCGAAACTCCTCAGGAACATGACCAAATCCAACTTCACAAAGTTCATGGCTGGCACGAAGAAGTCGAGATGTGCAACAGATCTCATGAACAGCAGCAGATCCGAATGTAAAGGATCCGAGACCGAAACCGTCAAACCGAAGCAGCTCTTGCCCCAAACCAAGGAGCCCGAACCCGGTCGTCCGAAGCTTTGCAAGAAGAAGGTGAAGCCCAGGTGGAGAGAGTCTGAGGCCAATACGAAAGGATCAAATCGCGCTTTTCCAGAGGCCAACGATGCCGATTCGGGTCTTTGAACTGCTTGTGAGAAGAAGGAGAAGTCCAAATGCAAGAGGTCCAGGACGAAGAGTGAGGACTCAAAGGCTGCACGGCCATAGGTCAACATCGTAGAGTCCAATCATGTGAACTCTTGCGAGAACGGCATCAAGTTCAAACCTGCAAGATCCAAGGCCAAGGCCGCGAGGCCCAAGCGTGCAAAGCTCTTCAGCAGCAAGGGTGAGCCGAAGTGACTGGCGTCCAAGGCAGAAAGCATGAAACCCGAACGGAGGCGGTTGAAGATGGACACTGCCAAGCTGGGGCGTAGGAAGCTGCGCATGAAGCAACTGGAGCCGAGTTCCAAGATACCCAAGGCCGATAGACTCGAGGCCAAGCATACTTGACCAAACATGAAGAAGGTTGACCCCATATGGACAGAGCTTTGTGGCAACCATGAGGGTCCGAATTGCGTGGAGTCCAACACGAGGAGTGACAAGTCAAGCTGAGCAGTTTTGGAAGCCAAAGATGCTGGCTCAGGTCGACTAAATTGCTGCAGTGACGGAGTTAGGCCCAGAACTAGAAGATCTGCCACTGAAAGAAGGAGCTCCATGCGAGTCTGACTCACCACAAAGATGGTACTTCCAAGACGCAAAAATTGCTGCAAGAGCGAGGAAGGGTCTGAATTCCCATAGGCCACCAGCAGCATGGAAAAGCCCAATTTGGTGTAGCTGTGTGCCAACATCCCACTCTCCAAGTGCAAGAAGTCCAAGACCGGCACCAAAAGGTCTAGGCTTGACCGACCAAAAATCAATGGTAGAAAGCCAGGACAAGTGAATGGCTGTGAAGATAGGGCAAAACCCAAGTGCAAGAAGTCCAGAACCAACAGGGCTGAAGCACATCGGAAAGATCCTCGCAGGAAGGTTGATGATCCACAGAAGCTGTGATCCAACACCGACGAGGATAGTCCCAGCTTCATACAGCTGAGAACCAACATCATGAAATCTGCTTGTGCAAACTGTCGCAGAAGCGAAAAGAGTTCAAATCGAGTGAAGTCCGAAGCGAACAGGAAGAGCTCGAGTCTCAAGAAGCTGCAGACCAAACAGGTCGATCCTGACCATGCGAGATCTTGCACTGAAACCGAAAAGCCTGGCAAAGACCAGTCCAGTACCAGAAGCAGAAGCTCAAAACGTGCCACTCCAAAGACGGACGGGAGGAAGCCCAAACGCAGTATTTGTCGCAAAAGCAAAGGGGAACCCAAACTGGACACATCCAGTGCAAACATTGGAAGGCCAATCTGAATGACACCAAGCATCAGCGGAGTGGAGCCAATATGGCATAGCTGCCGTGAGGAAACGGGGGAATCAAGGGTGGCGAAATCCAGGACCAAAAGACAGAATCCAGGTCTGCCGAGGCCAACGACTGACAGTGAAGATGCCAGCTGTACCATATTTCGCAAGGAAATGGACAAACTCAAGCGCATGACTCGCAAGACCAGCATGGAGAAGTCCATGCAAGACATTCCCCGCAACAAGGTAGGCAGTTCGAGATGCAAAGAATCCAAGACCAATGCCATGAATTCTAGACCGACCCTTCCCAAGACCAACAACGTGAGCCCGAGACGTGTGAGTTGCTGCGTCGAAATGGCCGGATCGAAGTGTGCCACGTGCAAGGCGAACAGCGACGACTCCAGATGAGCTAAGGACTGCGACGACAAGGAGAAGTCGGGTGCTACGAGGTCCGAGGCGGAGAGAGGCAGGTTTGGATGCGCAGTGCCCAGGGCCGACGGGGTGAGGCCGAAGTGGATAGAGTTCCGCAGGAATGAGAAGGAGTCAAACTCCGTGAGGTCAGAGGCAAACGTTGCTAGTTCTAACTTGGCATGGGACTGTAAGGGTGGCGATAGACCCAGGTGCAGAGGGTCCAACACCAGCAAGAAGGAGTCAATCCGGCTGACGCTGGTGACCAGCAAAGGAGGGTCCGGTCGCATGAGAGACTTTGAGAACAGGAGCAAGCCCAAGTGAAGGAAATCCGGTACGGATATGGCCAGATCGAAGCGTGCAAGTTGACGAGGTGGCATGAAGGAGTCCAAGAAGACACAGTCAAGCAAGAAGAAGGAGTCGCCCAAGGTCTGACTGCCGAGGGTGGGAAAGGGCAAGCTCAAGCATCCCATGGCTCTCGAAGACAAACTGAAGCCTATCACAGCAAAGTCCCATACAAGTAATCCCAATCCCAAGCAAGCAAAGCTCCTCAACGGCAGAGCCGAACCTGAAATTAGGCCATCCAATGCTGAAATGATGAATTCCAAATGAGATCTGCCGAAGATCGACGTTCCGAATCCCACACGGATGAGTCCTTGCAACGGCGAAGACAGCTCCAATTTCGCCCAATCCAGCACCGGAAGCTGACTTCCCACTTGCAGGAGGCTGTGGGGTGACACGAAAGATCCCAGGGAGCAGCTATCAAGCACCAACAAACTGCTGCCAAGTGACACGCGGGAATATACCAAGAAGTAGAGTCCCAAACGTTGGAGGCTGCGGAGTGACGTAGAAGAACCGGTTCGACCATAGTCGAAGACCGGCGCGATTGAGCCTGAACAGAAATGACTGCGCATGAAAGCTGGAGAGTCGGGATGCAAGAGGTCCAGAGCTAGAAGCGGCAGGCCCAAACAAGCAGAGCTAAAGGCTGATGCTGTGAACTCCAACCATGCGATGGATCTTGCCAATGGAGGGAAGCCTGAGTGAAGAAGATCAAGGACTGAAATCAAAGGGTCCGGTCGTAGAGTGCTGAAGAGAGAAGACTTGAGCTCTGCGTGCGCGATGGACTTCAACAACAAGGAAAGGCCCAACTTCGCTACATCAAAGACCAAGAGTGTGAAGCCTGCACGGAGAAATCCCTCCGTCGAAAAGAACAAATCCAGTCGTGCCATGCTGTGAATTGAAAGTGAGAAACCCAAATGTAGGAGGTCCAAGACTGATAGACCTGACTCAGGCCGTGAACAGCTGGACGACAACAGAAAAGGCTCAAGTCTTTGCATCCCTTGCAATGAAAGGAATGACTCCGACTTTGTATGCTCAAAGACCAAGACTCCTGAAGCAAATTGGGCAAAGGATCGCAGTAACGAGGAGAAAGCAAAGCTATCAAAGTCGAGGAGAAGCAAGGTGAGCTCTAACTGTGAAAGTCCAAAGGTCGAAACCGTGGACATGAGTCGCGCGAGCTGTCGCGCCGACAGGAAGAAGCCCAACTGCAAGAAATCCAAAATCAGCGTCGTCGAACCAGACTTCAAGGGTCCGTAGGCCGACAACATCTTGCTTGGTTGTGAGAATGATCTTAAGAACAAGCAGCTGTCCAGGTGCAAGAAATCCGGAACCAACACCAAGAGCTCAAAGCGGGTCATTCCAAAGACCAGCAAGCTCAAGTCCAAATGCACGAGACTGCGCAAGGACAAGAAGAATCCAAGATTCAAGAGATCCAACACTAACACTGATGAGTCACACCTCACAAGGCTCCGCACCAATAGAAATGACTCCAAGATGGCCATGTCCAAGGCGAAGAGCAAGAAGCCTGGCCGGGCGCTACTAAAGAGAAAGAGTGTAGAGTCAGGACGTGCGAAGCTCTGCACGAGGAGGTTGGAGTCAAAGCGGCAGTGGCCGTAGATCAAGAAGACGAAGCCCAAACGCATCATGCTGCGCGCGGATGGTCCTGTGCCCAATTCCGTCATGTCTGAGATGGATGGAAATGGGCCAAGAGCGCTGCGAGTGGAGGCGAACATGGTGGGATCTAACTTAGCCAGAGAATGCAGAAGCGAGAAAAAGCCAAGATGAACAGAGTCAAAGACCAGCAGGGCCAATCCCAAACGAACCACGGAGCGCAATAACGTCGAAGATCCAAGACATGTGCGGTCCAGGGCAGGTAGAAAGCTCTCCAAACGAACTGGTGCAAAGAGGAGCAGAATAGGGCCCAAAGAAGAATAGCCATGGAGAAACAGTGAAGGCCCAACTTCCATGACGTCCAGGGTGAATGGCAGCAGCTCCAGGCGCATGGCGCTAAAGGGGAAGAGTGCTGAGCCCAAGCAAGCGAGTGCTCTCAAGAACAAAAAGAATCCAAACTCACTGACATCAAAGGTCAGCGGACAAAAGTCTGGGCATGCTTGGCCAAATGTGAACAGACTTGAATCAAAGCATGCGGAACTCCTCGACAGCAATGACAGACCAAATTTGATGATATCCAAAGCGGGCGGCATGAAGCCAGCGCGTGACAAGCTGAAGGTGAATGCTGATGGCTCAACAGAAGCTACCGTACGTACCAACGGAATTGGTTCAGGATGCAAATGATCCAGAGCCAACGACACGAAATCCACGTGAGCTCTCCCAAAGGGTAACAAGATCGACTCGAGGCATCCAAAGTCTTGAGGCGACAAGAGGAACTCAGAATAGGCCAAGTCCAAGATTAAGAGGCTCGAAGTGAAGCGAGTGAGTCCAAAGAACAACAGGATAAGACCAAAGTAAGTGTAGCTTCGCACAGAAGCTACGCTGCCCAAGTTCAAGAAATCCAAGACCAACGACGCCGAATCGGAGCGTGTTTGCCCCACACTGGACATGGACAAGCCAAGGTGAGCGAGCGTCCGCGCCGAGGGCAAGGAGCCCATATGAGCGAGGTCAAAGGTAGACAGAGAGCTGCTTGTTGTGGCCCTACTAAAGATGAACACCAAGAAACCAGGACGTGCGAAAGAGTGCAAGAATGCCAAAGGATCCGGCCTCAAGAAATCCAAGATCAATGAGAAGAATCCCATCCTTGAGAAGCCGGAAATGAACAAGAGAGATCCAGGAAGTGCCATGCTCCGTGCTGATGAGAATGAGCCGATCTCCACCATGTCAGGTACCAGCATGCACGAGCCGAAACGTGCAGCACTCAGCGCTGGAGACATGCTACCGAAACGGGCAAAGGATCGCATGGGCATCAAAGGGTCCAGTTCACAAGCGTCTGAGGCCAACAAGCTTGATTCCATTCGGCTGCTGCTCATCAGCAAGAAGCTGAGACCTGGTCGTCCAAAGCTTTGAAGTGACAGAGGTGAGTCCAATGGGACCATATCCAAGACGAAGGAGGAGAAGCCAGAGCAACTGGCCCCAAAGATCA